CTCTAGGAAAAAGTAGTTTGCAATTTTAAAATCACTGTTTTCCTGAGCTTTTGGTCACCAGATTCTAAAAAATAATAATTAGGGAGCAAATTCTAGCTACTGGATGCTACTAGAGATCCAAACAACTTTAATAAGAAGAAATAAAGCTGTGGATGAAGTGAGAAAATGTTGTAATAGAAGGCTTTAAAAAGTTTAAGACAGAAGAAAACTATAATCCCATCATACCAATAAGTATTATTGGAAAATGTTGAAGGGGAAGAGAAATAGAACAACTTATCACAAGGATAATATTGTTTGAACAAGTACATCTTATTCTAAGAATATAAGAATGATGATTGTCAATAAATCTGTCAACATAATTTATTATGTCAATATATTAAAGCACATTTTTAGGAAAAAAAAACCTCTAAGAAAAATATAAATAGAAGGAAAGTATGTAAATGCAAATAGCAATAACAAACATCATTATAAATAGTGAAATTGCAATACTATTTTTATTAAAATCAGGAACAGAAAAGATATGCTCATTATCACCATTATAATTCATTATTTTGAAGTTTTAGTAAATGCAGGAAGACAATAGATCAAAATATTTTGTCTAAGTTTTGGAAAAGGAGATAAAAAAGTTTTAGTATTAAAATTTTATACCTAGAGAATCTAAGACATATCATTAAAACTATTAGAACTAATAAGAAAATTTTGTAGGGCATAAACATAAACAAGAATGGCGATAAGAAGTGAATTATAATATTTTATCAAATGATCTAAAGCAAGATAAGAAAAACAAAAGATGTAGAATGGAAGGGAAAAGTTAGTATGGTAAAAATGTCATTTTCCTTGATAGTTACATATATAATTAATAGAACTCTAATTAGAATCTAAGCAGAGTTTTTACTTAACTGGATACATAATATTAAAAATCCTGTGAAAGATGAAATGTCCAAGAATAGCCATAAAATAATGAGTAAAGGATAGTGAAGGAGGACTTATCTGCCAGAAAATAAATCATTATCTAATGCCACTGTAATATAAACAGTACATTGTGGCATAGGAATTGTAAAAAACCAATAAAATCCTTGGAATGACATAAAGAGCCCAGAAATAGATCTCAGTGCATATAGTAATATAAAATAGTGTATGAAAAAGATAATACTTTAACCCATTAGGGAAAGGATGGCTGACATATTGTAATAAATGGTGCTGTTACCATGTACTATGGATATGGAAGAAAGTGAAGTTTGATCCCTATCAAACACCATATTAAAAAATAAAATTCTCATTGATTAAAGCCCTCAAATAATAAAAAATAAAATTTAGAAAGAAATTTAAGTGTGCATATTACAACCTGCATGTTGGGCTGAATATTTTCATTGAGATGGGTAAACCAGCAGCTATGTATAGATATATAATTGACACTGATAAAGGAAAGGCACCTATCAGGATCCACAAAATGGAGGCCACCCATGTCCCAGCCCACATCACAGATCTAAACCTGAGTCAGCCCACACTTAGGGGAAACAACTGTCACGGTTGTCCTAATCACCATCTTCCTACTCCACGTTCCCTGGCCTCCTTACCCTAGAAAACAGGACCTGCCAGCCTTATAAGGAGATACCCCACCTCCTAGCCAATCACACCCTGTTTCCATGTTGCCTGTTCCAATGCTTCATAAAATTTGCTCTTGTCCAAAATCCCTTTGGCAGAATGCGCTCCCCCAACCCACGGACTGTTTTCCTTGACTAAAGGACATCAAACTCGTTAATACATTGTTTCAGTCTTGTCATTGGACAACACAAAATTTTTAAACTTTTGCAGGATAAAAAATACCATGAAAAAAATCAGAAGACAAATGATAAGTTTAGGAAAAAGTATTTGTAGGAAAGATTCTAGATAAAGGACCTATAGTTAAAATCTATATCAAAGCACTCTTCAAATTAAGAATCAAGTCAGTCCAATAGAAAAGTGGGTAAGAGATAAAAATAGATAGTTTATAGAAAAGAAATTCCAAGTATCCATAAACACATGAAACACTGGAACCTAGTGTGGTGATTGGAGTGGGTAAACTCTCCTAGAGACAGACCGGCTATGGCCCGACCTTGGCCAAGATAGTGAACTTCCCTGTACCTCAGTTACATCATCTTACACACAAGGATACTCGTGTTTGTCTCACGGGATTGTTGTTAAGGATTAAGAGCTGCTAATTGTAACATGCTCCTTACAGTGCCTGGCCTATAGTAAGCCCAGCACAGAGTAAAGCATTATGTAAGTATAGGCTAATGTTATAATTTGGGAAATGGAAATTAGAGCGACAGAGCAATAGCTCTCCTCACCATCAAGTCAGCAGGCATTAACAGAGAGACTACACTGCTGGTGTGAATTTTCATGGAAAAGAGTTCATTGCTAGTGGAAACATGGAATGTCATAATCATTTTTGGAGTGCATTCTGACAAAATCTCTTACATTTTAAATCCATATACCCTTTGACTCAACAATTCAACTCCTGGGAGGGAGTCTCTCCTGCAGAAATAAAGCCACCAGTGCGAAGATACTCACTGCAGCCTTCTTTGTAATGACAAACAGCAAGAAAAAAAATGAGAATGTATCAAAAAGGTGAAGGACTGAGTAAAATTATGGTATATTCCCAACCTTGCAGTATTATGCAGTCTTTAAATAGAATGACTTTGAGCTTTGCCCACTGACTTGGAAACATTTCATGATGTGCTTTTAAGTGGTAAAAGCAAACTTCAGAGAATGTATGGGGGGACCATTTTTGGAAAGCAATATTGACAACTCCTATGTACATGTTATGTGTTTGTGTTTTATGAATATGAGAACATTGGAAAGATGACACTCATGACTGCCTTTATTGCATGTTCTGGTTATATACATATATTTATAATAAATTCAAACACAAAGAAGTGTAGGAAGAGCATGGGAATGATCTGAAATCCCACCATCTGGGGATCATCACTGTTTAGTGTTTTAAAGATCGTATTTGATGCATCTTTTTAGGCATATTGGCAATTTTGTGTAAATGGTCTGTGTGATATTGTGATAAGAAATACGTAGTTGGCAATGACCCCTTCTTGAGTTCCTGGAACAAGAACCTCTAAAAGCCCTGGAGTTCCTGAGTGACTAGGGGGAGAGGAGCCTCTTCCTCGCTCATAATAAACCTCTTTCAACTTTGCCTGAGCTGATGTTGCTGAGGTGAATCATAATGAGCCCTACGGAGCTTCAGGACGGGAGCTATTTGCCAGAAGAACCAACCTCATGATTAGAGGGCTGGAACTTTCAGTTCACTGGGGGGTTGAGTCAATCACCAATTGCTGATGATTTAATCAATTATGCCTAACTAATGAAACCTCCATAGAAATACTAAATAAAGGGGGTCAGAGTAAGCTTCTGGGTTGGTGACACATTGATAGGCCGTGAGGGTGGCACAGCCCTAACTCCAGAGGGACAGAAGCTCCTCTGCTCAGGACCCTTCTGGACCTTACCTTACGCACTTCCTCCTCTGGTTCTTCATTTGTATCCTTTATAATATTACTTATAATAACTGATAGTAAGTAAAGTGTTCCCCTGAGTTCTGTGAGCCATTAATAGCAAATGGGGATCTCCCAGTCTGTATCCAAGTTGGACAGAAGTGTGGGCAACCTGCAATCCAGGAACTATGATCGGCTCTGAAGTGTGGGGGAGGCAGTCTTTTGGGACTGAGCCCTTAACCTGTGGGGTCTACACTAACTCTGAGTAGTGTCAGAATTTAATTAATTGTAGGATACTCAGTTAGTGTCCTCGGAGAACTGGAGAATTGCTTGGTGTGGAAAAGCCACACATTTAGAAGAGTTATGTGTAGAAACAGATCATAGGAGAGTGAATGCTGATTTTATCATGTATTCCTTTATATACAAAGAAAACACAATAAACCTAGTCTCTTTTGGCCCACGGGGCAAGGAGGATCCAAACAAAATCTCACACTGAGTGGTCACTGTGCCAGAGAGTTCTGGACTACAAGTCAAGGAATGGCTCTGATCACCTGAAGTCCTACGGGCACTGGAACAGGTCATTTCACTTCTCTGGGCTCCAATTCCTCCCATGAAATGGAATTTTCCGTAGATGATCTCTGAGGTTCCTTCCTGTTCCTGAAGTCGGTGTCCTGTGCTGTGCTGTTAGCTGTCAGAGAGTCAGCATGTACGGGAGGCAGGAGACAGGTTTTAGGGTCAAACAGCACTGAGCTTGTTGTTACTGCACATCTCTGGGCTACAGAGTTAAACTGTTTCATAATAAAGCCCCTCACTTGAAAAATGGGGAAATGACAATTACATTACAGAAGTGTAAGGATTCTGCACAAACATAAAGCACTGGGCATATGCACACCACAGAATTTTTTTTTTCAGATTAAATACTAATTAAGAGACAAATTATTTTGTAATAAACAAATTAAAATAATGGACTCTGCATCATTTACAAAGGGCTGCTTTGTCATTTTAAGGTGAAACTCTTTAATAATAGGATATGAAATTCAATGGGACAAAATCAGCCAGTGATGAAGGAGCAGAGTATCTTCGCAAGGGTTTCAGAGTTCATTTCCGAACAGTTTCCCGGTGGAGCTTTTCTATTTTGGAAAGGCTTGTGCAAGTCCATCCAGGAGATAAAATTCTTCCGTGAAAAATGCCTTGTTGGAGTACGTAACCTAGTCTTACCTCCCTTCTGGTTATGCGGCCCGCCAAGTGGGTCGCGCATGAGAGCGCCCCCTGCAGGGCTTCCCGACTCCATGGTAAATTTGGTTTCCTTTGTTTATTTCCAGTTAGTACTTTTTCTCCCCTGTGCTAATGCACCACATTTTCCGTAAAACTAAAGGTAATAAAAAGGTGCGAGAGGAATTTCATCAAGCAAGACGTTTTAGAAATACAGCTCCTGGGCTTCTGAATTTACACCATACATCACACAAAATGCAGGAGTCCATCTTTTTGACTCATGCTGCCATTCTTTTGTACCTGCAGGCCCACAGCTTGCCCTAGGGGAAGAACTACTTCATTTCTTAAGGATTATAGCGCTTTTTCTGAGGAGTCCCTGTTACTGCAGTCACCCAGCCTGTCTGAGGACATCTTTGAACGGTAAGTCGGTGATTCAATCAGCATCTGAAATATTCTCACAGAAAAAGATGGATTAGAAAGTTGCCTCATGCAGACTCAATGCTGGGTGTTCAGCTTCACTGTGTCCTTAAAGATACAATTCTTTAAAAATGAAAACACCACGCAAATAGAAGGTTTATTTTGAACTGGCTGATAGTCCTGGTTTGGGTAAAGACCAAGGAGAAAAATCAACAAACAGATGGAAGAATTTGGTATGTGACTTCTTTCGTAATGTAAATTTATATTATTTATCATGTGCAGAAGACAGGAAAGTGTTGTGTGGGTCAGGATGACCGGCCTGAGGTGTGAAAAAGCAGCTTTCTTTTTACCTGGGGAGAGACCTGGTCTGGATGCCCCAGGACAATTTTCCCTCCCTGAAGAACTGTGTTCTTAGGACTGAAGGTGTTGGATTGCTGTAGTGGAATCAGCTCTCTCCAGTGAATTTCTTCTAAGAGTTTCCCTTGGTTTTGTGCTCTGTTCTTAATTTGATCACCAGCCTTTGGCACGGAATGAAAAACCCCGAACTCATTCAACCAGAGGTTTGCTGCCTAGAAGAACAAACCATTTGTTTGTTTTTTAATTTATTTCCCTTCTCAGCCCAAATACTAAAATTAAGAGACGTTGAAAATATCAATCTGAGAAGAGGAAGAGAGAATTCAAGGGATTTGCTCATTTTAAACATATGTGTTTTTACTCTGAGGTGTTAATAGCAGGCAGAGGTATGGGAAGCCAGTCCCCAACAGATAACTAGGTGATAAGAAATTGTTCAGATGTGACTTCTAGTTTGGCTTTGCTTTGCTTTGGACTTATAGCAGTACCAGCTAGTATGAGTATGTATGTCCAGTTTATGGATTGTTTTAGCATGCTTTAATTACCTGATGTGATCTTCATGGAAGCATAATGATGCAGCTATGGTCAGCATCCCCATTTTACAGATAAGAAGACTGGGGCTCTGAGAGATGGATTTTTCCCAGGTTTTCCAGTTAATGAGAGGCAAAGCTTGAAATCAAGTTCAGGTGTTCTGACTTCCAATTCCTTGATCGACTGTTGCCTTTTTAAAGAAGACCTGAAGCCATGGAATCCTTGAGGTGGAAGGACCTTAGGGATCTGCTGGATCAGTATTTGCCTAGTTTTACAGGATATCAGCACGTTTCAATGCAACAAAACTTGGGAATGCCAGATTACAGGACATCAAATTGATTTCTTGTCCACAGAATGCCTCAAAGCCTTTATTATGTTTTTCTGATCTTTTTTGGTTATAGATTTTTTTAGGGACCCATCTACCTAAGAGCCACATCCTTGGCCCCCAGGCTGCTGAGACCCCTGGGTGGTGTTTTGTGTGAGTCACAGAGCTGGCAGGACTAGGGCCACACTGGGGGTGTAGAGGAAACTAGGAAGAGCTGGGGTGCTCCCTCTGGTCCTTGAGTCGTGCTGCTTGTCATCCCAGCAAGCCTCAATCAATACCGTATGAGCTGTTCTCCACAGGTCACCTCTCAGTGTCCCAGCTGGAGGGCGTCCCAGGGCCTTCCCAGCTCCCATTCCTGTACCCACATCTGTTCTCAGCTCAGTCCCAAGTATTCCAGACTCCATGGGGAGATGTGTGCTGGTCAGGCTCAGGATTGCCCAGGTTTCGACCCTGACTCTCCTGCTCATTATCTTAGTTATCCAGGGTCTCTGTCAGTTTCCCCAACTGCAAAATGGGGTGAATAGAGTATCTATTCCATAGGGTCTTCTAAAGATAAATCAGATCATACATGCAAAACACTCAGATGATTGCCTGATCCCTTACTATATGTTCAAAAACTCACATTGTAGTTATGATCTTGATTTGGACACTCAGTTAGTATTGCCAGAAGACATGGAGGCCAGTCTTCCATTCACTCCTCCAGACACGCCAAGCAGTTTCAACCTCTGCAGAATTCTTGGTACTGAGTGGTGCTTTGAGATCATGCTCTCCGTTTGCTCATAGGGTTACTATCAGCTTTATAAAAGGTGGGCTTTCATAGGGGTGGTCCTCCATGCCTGTGTGCTGGATGGTGGGTTCCTCGGGAGACGGTCCTTTCAGAATCAAGTTCTAGGAAAGGTGTCTGTATCTCCTCATGACTCTGATGAGGGTTCTCCACTTGCTTTGGCTTAGGGCCAAATCTGCCTCAAACTATTCTTATTCCCCAACCCCCCCTTATTTTATCAGCCTTCTTTTCTGTTTTGATTTGTACACACTCCTGGGTGCCTCTCTGTTTCTTCTTCCATTTTTAATATTTTGTTTTTAAAGTTTTTATTTTATAATGGATATTTCTGTAAGCCACTTGAAAGTCTTTGGAGAATTAGGCAGAGGACACACACACACACACACACACACACACACACACACGCGCGCATAAATACTCCAGAAGGATGAGCTGAGCATCAGACCAAAATCACAGTATTGAAAAAACATTTATTACCATTTATGTGGCATTCCTACATAATCCTCTTTATAAAGCAATCAGTTTATCCACTTTCTATACTGTACAGTATACCAATTTATAAATCTTTAAAACTTAAGGATTTACAGAAGTGTCTCAGCAAAATTTAATAATACCTGCCATCTCTTGAGGCCTTACGGTGTGTCCAGAAAGATTTACATGCATTTTCCCTGTTTCTCACAGCCTGTCAGCAAGTTGGATAATATTATCTCCACTTTAAACCAAGAAAAATTAAAGCCTTGAGAAGGTGAATGTCTCCCTCAAATTCATCCAGCTGGCAAAGGATGGGTTTGAGATTTGAGTCCTGGAATGTCTCATTCTTTAGTCTATTATCTTCTCAGTTCATTGTGCCACTTTTCACACAACCAAGATTTCTCTGGTTGGTAATGGCTGTTGTACAGGTTTCTCCTGTGGAGGCATTTTATCCACATAAGGTGGTATAGTGGTTTTAAAATATGTCTGCAAACTCTTTGATTTTCCCCCCTCTTCACTTGAGTATGGGTTGATATTAGTGACTCACCTCCAACAAATAGAACATGATGGAAGTAACAGTGTGTGACTTCCAAGACCAGGTTATAGAAGGAGTTGGGGCTTCCTTGTTGTTCTACCCCTTGGATCACTTGCTTGGGGAAGCCAGCTACCATGTCACAAAGACCCTGAAGCGGCCTTCTGGAGAGACTCTGGTGGTGGAGAACTGAGGCCTCCTGCTAGTAACCTGTGAGAAACCGTCAACAGCCCTGTGAGTGAGCGACCTTAAAAGCAGAGTCTCCATCCCCAGTCAAGCCTTCAGATGATGTCAGCTCTAGACAATATCTTTCCTGCAACTTCTTTGGAGACCTTGAACCAGAACCACCCAGCTAAGCTGCTCCCAAATTCCTGACCCATAGAAACTGCAAGATAATAAATGTTTGTCATTGTAAGTTGCTAAGTTGTGGGGATAATTAATTTGTTACATTGCAACAAATAGCTGATGCAGATGATCTAGAATTGGAGGGCCTTGCCCTAGGACCTATGTGAGCCCCTGGCAATGTTGACAGTTCTCTTCTACAGGATATGCTGCCTCTGCCTATAGCTACTCTGACAGCCCATGTTTCTGCTCAGGTTGGTTGGCTTTTCTGTGGATGAGACTCTAAGTCCAGTTCTTAAACATTTGTAAGTAAACAGGACTTGGCCTTGTTGTGAGGTAGCTAACCACTTTTCACACAACCAAGATTTCTCTGGTTGGTAATGGCTGTTGTACAGGTTTCTCCTGTGGAGGCATTTTATCCACATAAGGTGGTATAGTGGTTTTAAAATATGTCTGCAAACTCTTTGATTTTCCCCCCTCTTCACTTGAGTATGGGTTGATATTAGTGACTCACCTCCAACAAATAGAACATGATGGAAGTAACAGTGTGTGACTTCCAAGACCAGGTTATAGAAGGAGTTGGGGCTTCCTTGTTGTTCTACCCCTTGGATCACTTGCTTGGGGAAGCCAGCTACCATGTCACAAAGACCCTGAAGCGGCCTTCTGGAGAGACTCTGGTGGTGGAGAACTGAGGCCTCCTGCTAGTAACCTGTGAGAAACCGTCAACAGCCCTGTGAGTGAGCGACCTTAAAAGCAGAGTCTCCATCCCCAGTCAAGCCTTCAGATGATGTCAGCTCTAGACAATATCTTTCCTGCAACTTCTTTGGAGACCTTGAACCAGAACCACCCAGCTAAGCTGCTCCCAAATTCCTGACCCATAGAAACTGCAAGATAATAAATGTTTGTCATTGTAAGTTGCTAAGTTGTGGGGATAATTAATTTGTTACATTGCAACAAATAGCTGATGCAGATGATCTAGAATTGGAGGGCCTTGCCCTAGGACCTGTGTGAGCCCCTGGCAATGTTCACAGTTCTCTTCTACAGGGTATGCTGCCTCTGCCTATAGCTACTCTGACAGCCCATGTTTCTGCTCAGGTTGGTTGGCTTTTCTGTGGATGAGACTCTAAGTCCAGTTCTTAAACATTTGTAAGTAAACAGGACTTGGCCTTGTTGTGAGGTAGCTAACCCAAAAGGCTCTCACTTCAGGCAACCTTGAGAGCAGTATTAGAGTACCTGCTGGGAAGTCAATTAAGAACTGACCCTGAGCACAGCGCTGGGCACCTGTAGTCCCAGCTACTCCGGGGACTGAGGCAGGAGGATTGCCTGAGCCCAGGAGTTGTGGGCTATGCTGACTGGGTGTCCCTACTAATTCAGCATCACTACAGTGACCTCCTGGCAGCAGGGGACCACCAACCAGGTTGCCTAGGGAAGGGTGAAATGGCCCAGGTAGGAAGTGGTGCAGGTGAAACTCCTGTGCTAATCAGTTGCGAGACCAGATCTCTGAATCGCTGCTGCATTCCAGCTTAGGCAACACAGTGAGACCCTACCTTTAAAATACATATATATGTATATGGCCTCGAGTGAAGATTTGTAATGCTCACCTAGACCCCCTGATGTTTGAGGCAGATGACAGACCCAGAAAGTTATTACCGTAATCCATTTATAGGACCTCTGTGTTCTATCCCCATATGAAATTCTATTATAAAGAGCAAAATACCTGAACATGTTATCTCATACTCACCAGAGGGTCTCGTAAGTATAAGAGCTGTCTTTTAAGACAGTGTTCCTGTGCTTCCCAAAGATCCTGGCTGAGAATATGTCCTTGATTCACAATTCAGCTAACAGGTACTATGTGCTTGCTAAATACCAGGAGCTTCTCTAGGGCTGGAGATGCAGCAGTGAACAAAGCTGGCAAACTCCCTGCCTTCGGGAAGCTGAAATCTAGTGAGGATGACAGACAAACAGCAAGCAGATAAGCTAGGTGATTTAGGGGGGTATGTGCCATGGAGAGAAATGAAGGGAGGGAAAGAGCAGTGCCCTGCAGGGGGCGCTGAGAGAAGAAGCAGGGATGGTGGCTCTGAGGGGTCATGTGAGCAGAGGCACATGTTAAGAAGTTTGCGGAACATTCCAGACACTGCGATGAGACCTGTGGCAGGAGCAAGTGTGGCTTCTTTGAGAAACAGCAAAATTACACTAAGATTTCTTTGTAAAGACTCAAAACAAATCTCCCCCTAACAAATTTCCTGCAGTTTCAGGAAAAATTTGTCTCTACAGACTAATTTGTGTTCATTTCAGTGAGAAAATAGAAACCATGTAAACTACAATGCCTCCCTTTTGGCCTGGGCTCCCAGAAAGCTCAGAGGTAAATTCTGTGTCTACCCAGGGTGGCCAACTGGTTCATTCAGCTGCCCAGTCTGCTGCTTTATAGAAAAATAAGTTTTTCATTTGCCCTGGACTTCCCTGTGGGGATACTATATAGCCACCCACATCCACCTTAAGTCGACTTGGAAAAGGGGTAGAGGAATTAAGCTTTTAATTGTCATTCAGCAGATTCCTGTTGGAAAAACAAGGAAGTAGTTCCAAAGCAGCAGATCGCAGGGCCCTGTTGATTCATTGCACAAACATTATTAATTGTGCTCCAGGTTTCAGGGACTGGGTGGGAACTTGCGTGGAAAGATGGAAAGGCTGTGTTCTTGCCCCCACCCTCTAGGATGCAGTGCAAACAAAACAAGCAAATAATGACAAATGTCTGATGAGAGCTGGCCCAGGATGGGAGCCCGACCCGGGGGCAGCTCATCCTGGGGAAGGCTTTGACAGCAGAAGGGGTCTGAATTTGGGGTCCCTGCCTGTCCGCATGGCAAGGGAAAGGCCCCTGTAGCCCCTTCTCCTGCCCCCACCTGAAGAGGGTGGTGACTGGCTAGCCAGCCAGCAGAAGGCAGGGACGCGTCTGCGACCAGCGTGAACCCCAGGGCACTGGCGTCTGGGCTACAGGGCCAGAGTTGTCCTGATGGAAAGGAAAAATAGACTGAAACCATCTCAGCTCCACACGGCCTATTTTTAATTGATTTGCGCACAGACTCTTCAATCATGGTGTTAATATTTAATTGTCCTGTCAGGTCAGATCCTTCCCAGTCAGACAGTTAAAAATGGCTGGTGATGGAGGAAAGGAGGTGGTGGGGCAGCCTGAAACGAGGGAAGGGAGGTGTGTGCCTGGAGAGGATGGAGCTCTGAGCGCTGAAAGGAGGCCCTGGCCTAGGGTCCTGATGGGAAGAGCATCTTGCTCAGTTTCTTTGCTCCTGGCCCTTAATCACACACGTCTGTATGCATATCAGCCCTTGTCCAAAGGCCACTTAGGGGCCATATGTCAGTTCAGAGAGAGTGGGGGGCTTCTTCGGTGAGAAGATGCCAAGAGGGCTGCTCTCTGGGGAAGGAGCCCGAGGGTGAAGCGCTCATGCCCCTCAGTTTTCTAAGTTTTGGGGTCTCATTAGTATTTTGACTCTGGGTTCACCCCAGCCCAAGTGAGACCTGACTTACAGGCATGTTTCTCTGAGAAACAGTGTCCGTCTTGGCTGCCCAGCCTTAGAGCACCAGAGAAAAATGGCTCGGGAACTATTTTAGGTCTGTGCACCCAGGGGCAGTGAATAAATGCCTCCATGTGGCTCGTTCCAAGAGGTTATAAATAGGCAGGGATGAGAGGGATGGGGAACAGAACTCCATTCAGCTTCAGCCTCTTGCTTTATTTATGCCTCCTTTTAAAAATGGGAACCGAGAGGTAGAGCCCGTCTTGCTGGGGCTTGGCGTGGGGCGGGGAGAGAAGGACCCCCACCTCCTCCTCTCCCAGAGGGGGAGGAGGGAGAGCCAGCACGCTGACCCGGCAGGCCCACCACCATCTCTTCTGAGCCCCGCCCATTCCTTTGCTGAACAGACACTTAACGAGTCCAAATATTTACAGAAAACGAAGAGCTCACGCCTCAGCTTCTGCAAGCTGGGAAGGAAACCCAAGGCGTGATCGGGGAAAGCCCCGCGGGTGCCTTCTCTTGTCTAGGGGTCTTCCTGGGCCGAGGCAGCTGTTCCCCTGGGGGAAGCATCTGCCAGAAGGGGCCTTGGGGAATGTGTGGGCATCTTTGGTTGTCTTAACGATCGGTTGGGAAGCCTCACAGTTAATGGGGAAAGGGCAGAGATGTGCCAGAAGTGCTCTAGACGGTGTCCCCTCACCAAGAACTGTCCCCAGTCCTACGTGACTGGTGGGTGTCCACTCTGCATTCTTGAGTGGAGGATGTATTTGGAAAGATCTGAGCATAAAATTGAAATGCCATTTTCCTCGGAAAGTATTTGTGGCATGTTTTCAAATGCACAAAGTTTTCCAGGAACGCAACTGTTCTGGAAATCAGGGAAAGCCTGCGTTTTGTTTTGTTGGGGTCTTTAGCTTTTGGGAAAATGAGGTCCCTGATGGCAATGCCACTTGTGGTATCTGAGTTACCAAAATCACACACCTGCACCAGTCTGCAGATTTGCGGTGCTTCTATTCTGTCCTCTCCAAGTCCAGATACACAGGAGCATCTGTCTATTCCATCCAGACTCCTAATGCAGTTGCACCAAACCTTTATGTTGTTATCATAAGTGACTTTTATTTTATTTCTTCTTTATATTTCCATTAGGGCATTGAATCATGTGTAAGTGGATAATGTTAATTTAATTTCAGGAACATAAACATTATAGAATATCTGTTGGGGAGTGAGGCATTGGGTTGGATCCACGTCTTTAGCCAGGGTTGAAGGAGCTGATTTAGGATTTACAGCATCACAGACTCCTGAGAGAAGAGCCAGGCAAGCGGATCATCAGCAACTGGACTCCCTGAGTCAGGTTCTACTCTGAGATCCAAATGCTTCTGAAAACACAATAGCCCGAAAGAATCGGACTGTTCACGGGAAAGACTGAAGGGTCAGAAAACCAAGGGTGAGAGGCCCTGGCAGGGAGGCTGGCTTCTAGTCTGCTGGGGCACCACAAGGTCTATGGTAAATTGGGACT